GAAACAGTCTCTTCTTCATGTACAATTTATTTTGACTGTTTTTCTTCAAAAATTTATCCTCCAGTGCTTTCCATAATTTACTTGCAGAAGTTTCCTTTGTGTATGGATATTTCTGCTCTCTAGCAAGGTAGGATCGAATGGTACCGCAAGCAACACGATTGATAATTTTCCAATCTTCTTCTCCAATAACATCTGGCTTCTTTTCTTCAATGGCAAGATCTAGCCCTTGTTGAAAAAGAACATCTAGAACCTCGCCTTGCCACATCCCAAAATGTCCTGACCCGTCAAAAATTTCTACCGCAAATTTCGCATTTGACACAATTCTTGTCATAAGCGAAGATGCCAACGATGACGTATTATTGACACTTGATGTAGATTCTTCTTATTTACTGTCTCCCATTTTGACACAAATATTATTTAGTAGTTGACGATACAAATCAAGATTATTTTCTTTCTGGTGTGGAAGATCAGACTAAGCTGTAACCACAGAGCATACTCAGACAGAACCTTGACTCAGTTACCAAGATAGATCTTTTCAGATGTGGAAGATCCGACTATGCTGCAACCACAGAGCATACTTAGACAGTACCTTGGCTCTGATACCAATTATTGCGGAAGCCAAATGTATATAGTGTGAATGAGTCACAACTACTATACCAAAAATTATGACAACCACTAAATAATAAACAAGATAATAAGACAACAATAAAAGAACACCAGAATTTACGAGGTTCGGCCAATTTTGCCTACTTCCTCGGACACAATTAATATTTTATTCCACTCCAAAATTACAAGTGAAATAATACTAAAGAGAGAAGATACAAATGTCTTAAGAAGATAAAAGGCAAATGAGAGGTATGCTAAAATCCTAAACATTAGGCCTCCTTTTATAGGGTGAAATTACCATTCAAAATTGTCATCCACCGATGTGAGACTTTTGACAATTTCAACAGACAATAGGGTCATAAGGCATCCGCAAAGTTTGAGGGTGCAACCGGTAAAGTGAGACAACTCCAATAGGTAATTATATATTATCCCTATAAAAGCGAACACGTAAAAATTAATCACTGCTCTAAATTGGTGGGATCAAATTTCCACGAAGTTGATATGAAGATGCAATTCAAGTACTACACGAGTTGACATTTTTGAATGACCACAAATTTGTAGACTCTTAAGATGCCGTGGAAATCAACAAAGCTCATTGAGTTCATGTTGACTAATTAGTCCACACATTGCTGAAATATCTTCCAAAATTTTCACACGATACGTTGCTACCTACTCCCAGATGTGACTGTGCCCAAATGTTAGACGTTCAGCGTCTTACCAAACTAACCATTGACCTGCTCAATTAGTCTTCTCAGAATACTTTATATTTTCACTTTAGCGCATGCATTAGAGAATTTTAAGTTATTTATATCAGAATAACAGGAATATATAACATTAGGGAACGCAGAATACCTAAAAAAGAACCCTTAAACTTGGCAGGAATTATTAGTTACAATCCTAAATTATTCGTGGTCTTAATTACCCCCTCAATATGGTCTTTTGAGAGCCACTACCCCCTGGATGCTGATGTGGCAAAGAGTGTGGGTGCACTCTCTTTTAAGCGCGTGAGAGTGAAGAAAAATTGAAAAATCAGCTTCCAAATAGGTTATTTTTTTAACATTTAATTGTCATATAATCATATATAATGATTTATTTGTTACAACTATGTATTTTTCTTACTTCATCTTAACATATAATGTGGACTTTATTCTAACTTTTATTATTTTTAATTTCTTCTAAAATATAATATCTATTTGTTCCTACTGCATATTTCTTTTTTTGTTTTTGGCCAAATTTATAAAACGTTTGGTAGGAACTCTATTATTTTAGCCAAAAAAGAAAAAACTTTTAGCAAAAATAATGGAGTACCAGTTGTGTATATTTCCTATTTTTTTTATATATAATTTCTATTTATTTTAATTTTGTATTTTTATTTTCGAGTCAAACCAATAAAATAATTTGGCCATAGCTCAATTATTTTTTACCAAATAAAAGAAGTATAGCCAAAATAATGAACCTGCAATTGTATACTTTTTTTATGTCTTCTTTTGATGCAATGACTATTTATTTCAACTGTGTATTTTTACTTTTTCAGGTAAAATCTATAAAAAAAATATTTTTAGAGCACCACAACTAAAACTTTATTATTTTTAGCCAAATAAAAAAATTTAGCCTAAATATTGTAGTTCTATCCATGTTTTATTATAAATATTATTCGAAAAATATTATCTAAAAAGGAAACATACTTAAAAAGGTAAAAATATATTTTATTTTTCAAAAAAATACCACATAGACAGAAAAATCTACGTGGTAGGCAAGTGCATGCCACTTTTCTGGGATGAGATCGTCCAAGGGGATAACATCTTTCGAATAACCAAGTATAGGGGTGTAATTTAAATCATAGATAGTTCAAGGATGTAACCAATAATGCGTGCCAAGTTTACGGGGGTTTAAGGTATTTTGCCCATTAGGAAACATGACATACAGCATTATACAAAACTACAAGTATGACAAGACAAGAAAATAAATTCAAATAAGATCTGATAGAACTGAGCAATCCAGTTTGGCGGAGATTAGAGAAAGGACGAACATTAATTGAATATTTACCAACAAGTCAAGCACACTGGCCTAAATTTTCCAATTTGTTGTTCCTAGCGTACTAGGAGAATCTTGCACGTGAATCTGTCAAAGTCTATCCTTTTCTGTATTTTGTAGTCTTCCATGAAATACCTCAATTGTCAATATCATGAAATATTTTTCAAAATGGGTGAAATAAATTAGAATATTAGACTAGTGTTTTGTGCAATCAATTTTACTCTCTCTAGCCATTTCTCCAGTCCACTTTTCAGTTCTACATTTAAAATGATTCTTCCAAGTCATACAGAGAATTTTCAGTTGAGCTACTCTTGTCACTTGTATGCTTTCAAGTATACTGCCTTTTTATCTTTACTGGCCTTCTTTTTGCAACCCTCATCTATAATTCAGGTGGAAGGAAATGAAATAGACAAAATATCACTTGTTGCAATCAAGAATATGATCATTGATGATCCCTTTAGGATCATGGACTCCTGGAATGAAACCATCCATTTCTGTGACTGGCCTGGTGTTTCATGTGGTCGCCGTCACAGACGAGTCACTGTTTTGGATCTTAGTTGTCTGAAACTAAGAGGTACGTTTTCACCAAGCATTGGCAATCTGAGCTTTCTTCATGTCCTTAAGCTCCAAAATAATAGCTTTTCAGGTGAAATCCCATCAGAGCTTGGCTACTTACATAAGTTACAGGTTTTACGCCTTGACAATAACTCATTCACTGGTCATATTCCTTCAAACATTTCTGGTTGCTTCAACCTTTTTTCTGTTGTTCTTTCATATAATATGTTGGTAGGCATAATTCCAGCAGAATTAGGCACCTTGTTGAAACTTCAACAACTTTTACTTGTTTCTAACTACTTTACAGGAGGTATTCCACCTTCTCTTGGTAATCTTTCTACACTTGATACCTTTTTGGCAAGCAAGAACAATTTGGTAGGCAAAATACCTGATGAATTATGCCAATTGCCCAACTTAAAGTACTTTGTAGTGAACGAGAACAACCTGAGTGGAACATTGCCTCCTTGTCTTTTCAATCATTCATCTATGGTAGCCATTGATGTTGGATCAAATCATATAGAGGGGAAGTTGCCTCCATTGCTTGGTATTACTCTTCCTAATTTGCAGTTCCTCAGCATTCATAGAAACAACATAACTGGAAATATTCCAGTAACATTATCAAATTCCACAAAACTTCAGTTTCTTGTTGCTGGTAGAAATGGGCTCACAGGAAAAGTACCGCCCCTTGGAAATCTGCTGAACGTGCGGAGATTTTTAGTTGCTTACAATCATCTCGGGAAGGGGGAGGATGATGACCTCAGCTTTCTCACCACATTGGTGAATGCCACCAGCTTGGAGCTTTTGGAGCTCAATACAAATAACTTTGGTGGAGTCTTACCTGCATCTGTTAGTAATCTTTCGTCTGAACTAATAGAGCTTTCTCTGTCTTACAATCAGATTTCTGGAAAACTCCCAAGAGGGATATCCAATCTCAAGAAGCTAGAGGCTTTCTTCGGGGCTTACAACAGATTCTATGGTGAAATTCCATCTGAAATTGGGGATCTGATAAACCTGCAGGAGTTGGCCTTACTTGGAAATCTGTTGTCAGGCCAAATTCCAATCTCTTTTGGAAATTTAGCTTCCTTAACCAGACTCAGTTTAAGAGAAAACAATCTCCGGGGGAGAATTCCTTCCAGTTTAGGCAAGTGTCACAATTTGGAACTGTTGGATCTTGGCTCAAATAACATTAGTGGTTTCATACCATCAGAAATTCTTGAAATTTCATCCTTGTCAGAGGGCCTCGACCTATCTCATAACCACTTAACTGGGATCCTTCAGAAGGAAATCGGGAAGTTGAGCAATCTAGGCTACTTAAACCTATCTGATAACAAGTTGCGGGGCCAAATTCCTACTACTCTAGGTACTTGTCTGAAACTTGAAGCACTAGATTTGAACAACAACAACTTTCAGGGTAGTATTCCTTCAACCATGAATAATTTGCGAGGCCTGGAACTTTTAGTCCTTTCTCACAATAATCTGTCAGGTGAAATCCCAAGATTCTTGAAAGACTTCAAATTTCTGCAGGTTGTAGATCTGTCTAGCAATAATTTGGAAGGTGAAATCCCAATTGGAGGTATCTTCAATAATGTTAGTGTTGTTTCTATTATAGGAAATAGAAATCTCTGTGGGGGTATACCAGAGTTGGACCTTCCGGCTTGCAGTGCAGAAGTAAAGAAAGAAAAGAAATCAGGTTTCCCCTTGAAAATAGTAATTCCAGTAGTCAGCGGGCTTATAGGGTTGACATCTATAGTTTGTTTTCTTGGCATTCCACAGTTAGGTGGATCGAGAAAAGCACCAGTTACAGATACACCTGAAAACTCGACCATAAGAGTATCTTATCAGCATCTCCATAGGGAAACTGATGGATTCTCTGTATCAAATTTGCTGGGCATGGGTGCTTTTGGGTCTGTATATAAGGGAATTTCTGAAGACGATGGTACAGTTTTTGCTGTTAAGGTACTGGACCTTTCACACCATGCAGCTTCCAAGAGTTTTTTAGCAGAGTGTGAGATTCTGAAGAACATAAGACATCGTAATATTGTAAAGGTGTTAAGTGCATGCTCAAGTATTGATTATGAGGGCAATGAATTCAAAGCTATAGTTTACGCATACATGGATAAGGGGAGTCTGCAGGAGTGGTTGCATTTCACTCCTCAGGAGTCACATGAGCACAAGAAGCTAGGATTTCTTCAAAGATTAAACATTGCCATTGATGTTGCATGTGCTCTGGATTATCTTCATAATGATTGCCAACCCCCAATAATTCATCGTGATCTGAAGCCAAGCAATATTCTCCTCGATGAGAACATGACTGGACATGTTGGTGATTTTGGTTTGGCAAGATTTATTCCACCAGCTATTCACAACTCTTCAGCAAATCCAAAAACTTCTACTTGTGTTGGAGGAACTATTGGGTATACACCTCCAGGTAATACCGCCTTGCAAATTCCATTTTTTTTCCTTTCCTCAATTATTACACTCACCTACTAAAGTTAGTCTCAAGTGTCGAACCTAGTATGCAATTCAAGAGCATGGACATTCTGCTTTAAGTGGCTCCAAGTTTAGCTTTGGAATCATCCAATTGTTTGATTTAGTTTGTACTTGCCCATATTTTCTTGAGTAAAATCTTGTCCAAAAATTAAGTGACTGAAACATATAGGAATAAAAGTAATTTCAGAATAGTCATCATGTAACTGACATTTTGTCTTCTAGACTGGCTTATTTTCTGCTAAGCGTTTTCTGCAACCCCGGTGCACCAAACTCCCACTATGCGCGGGGTCCGGGAAAGGGCCGGATCATAAGGGTTTATTGTACGCAGCCCTACCCTGCATTTCTGTAGGAGGTTGTTTCCATAGCTCGAACATGTGACCTCCTGGTCACATGGCAGCAATTTTACCAGTTCTGCCAAGCCTTTTCTGCATTAGCCATAAATCAAGATTTCTGCTGTCATGTATAAGTATTCTTCTATCTTTTGGGAAAAGTATGTCTTATTCTATAATATTTCTCGTTGACATGTAAATGCATCTCAGAGTTGGGTATGGGAAGTGACGCCTCAATCTATGGAGATTTATACAGCTTTGGCATAATGCTCTTGGAAATGTTTACTGGGAGGAGACCAACTGATGAAATGTTTAAAGATAGTTTAAATCTTCATAACTATGCCAAGGCTTCTTTACCGGACAGAGTGATGCATATAACAGATCCCATTCTTCTCCAGGAAAGGGATGAACTAGGAAAGGAATACAAACTTGATAACAACAGAAGCAGTGCCACTGACTTTTTTGAATCATTCTTAGTTGCGGTGATTCAAATTGGAGTTGCCTGCTCTGTAGAATTTCCAAAAGAAAGGAGGAGGACCAATGATATCGTTGGAGAACTCAATTCATTGAGGAAGTTGTTCTTGGAGCAAGCATACTGGAAAGAACAGGTAATAAGCTTCCGCCCGCATTGACAGGTGTAATGTTAGTCCGTCTCATGTTTAGTGACACGAGGTAATCTGCACTATGAAACAAGTTCATGAATTTAAGGTTCGATTCTGCTCTTTTAATTTATAGTTATAGAAGATTATAAGTAAAACTAAAGCTAGCTCTTCGCAAGTTTCTTAGTTAGATGCCTTATTGATTATCTTGAGTAATATGTTAATGTTAGTTCTACTTGATGTCTACAGCTGCTGCACTATTAGATCATTGAATAGCCATGACAATAACACAACTGATCTCAAGCTTCCTCCTGCCAGTCTCAACATCATATTTGAAGTTCTTGAGAGCTAGCTAGGTAATGTCAACTTCGAATAACAATATTCATGGCTAAATCACAACCCCAGAACTTATGGGTGTTATCCACTCATAATAAAGTTAAACAATTTCACAAGTTTTTGAATAATTGAAAATACTAAGAAAGATGAAGAAGAACTGAGAATTCTTGCTCCCGAGTGTTCCGTGTGTATGTTTTCCTCTCAAAGCGGCATCTCCCCTCTCCAAAATAGGTTTAAACTTTTTTTTTATACGAGTTAGGGTGTGTAGGGTCGTCAAAACCTTGTCCCGTACAAAATAGGAGAGTGTTCCATCACCCAGCGTCCAGGGTAGCGCGTCGCGCTAGCCCTGGCCAAAAACATTTTGGAACTGTAATCTGCACCCTAGGCAGGGTAACGAGTTGGCCTGGGTGATGCACTGCCCGTTTTTTTTTCTTTTGTTCTCTTTTTGCTTCACCTCGTACAATTCCTTCCCACATTGCCTCCGGGTGACTCCTACACATAAAAATACTGCGAATTAGAATAAATTATTACCTTACACATCCGAAATCCATGAAATATGAGTAAAATGCGAGGCGATATGCATATATCAACACCCCACACTTAAACTCTTGCTCTCCCTAGAGCAATGGAACTATCAACTACATCCCCAACGACTTACATACAACTATGGAGGAGCAATTAAATTTTTTCAATCATACACTCTACCTTTGACTATGGTCGTTACCGGCAATCAAGCATGAGGATACGAAATTCACATTCCTCCCATTTTAAACATGCCCAAGTATAAGCAATATAATTCAACCAATTCCAGCAACCTACCCATAGCCACCTTACCTCAAGAGCCGACTCATTACCACTAAGCACCCTCAACTCGCACACTCACCCAACAACAGAAATTAACAACACCACCAATCAGTCATGAGACCATGTGCCCTCACCAACAAATAAGAGAGAGTGAATATAGAAATAGTCCATACATTCAAATATAACTTTGAACATAACTTAAGGACATCACACAAGTAAACAAACAACCCTCACTCACACAAAGAAGTTCATGTATATTCCGTGGTCCTACTATAAGCTTGACCGTAGTGTACGTCTCTACTACTCTAAGCTAGCCAAGTCTAGGATCAATTAGGTCTGTTCGAGTTGTAATGTAGGCTAAGGTATGGGTATGATACATTTAGGAATAATGACTAACCCTCCTAAACACTTTAATACACTACACTTACAAGTCGAACACATATTCTTCTCAACCAATTCAACCTGCCACAAACCATACACCTAGCACATTTTTTTCAATTAAGAAATTCTACCTCCCCACTAGCACGAATTAGTAAGAGTATGAGGTGCATTTTTTTTCTTTTTGACGAGCAACATTATTTGTATTTTTTTTTTGCCTTTTCTTTTCTTTCTTTTTTCTTTTTCTACACACACTTCTTACATTAAAGTTCATCGACTATTGGCCTTTTTATAACTTTAGTGCACCTTGTGGTCCCTTCCATTGTTCCGCTGGAAAGCTACATCCCTATCTCTCACCTTACTTCTTTTAGCGATTAAGTGCCTTCGGAGGTAAAGGTTCAACAAGCTTAAGTTAAGAATAAAATTAGGGATATGACTTATAATGTGGGTGCCAAGGAAAAGATCTACATGCTCAAAGGGGTTAAAAACAAAAATTTTTTATTTGTAAGTGACAAACACATCTATGATCGAGCAAAGAACTGCCTACGTCATCTCGTAGACTAGCTCAACTTAATGATTTCGCTTTGACTAACAAGCAGGGAAAGTTCTAGACTACACAAGATAGCATAGAAAATCACGAATCCTTACATAGACATTGAACATGATTCAATCAAGACAAATCTGTTCAACACTCAGGTCAAGCAAGCACATAATTTTAAGCTATAATGCACTAGGTGATATACAAGTCAAACAACTGAGAAAAAAGTCACAGAGTAGGCTATTTATTTCACTTAGGCATCACAATTCAAATCAAATACAACAGGAAGACAGAGCTCATGCCATATCCTATGGTTCCAACACCAAACATGTCATAGGTATCTAGAGCAACTCAGTTTTCTTATTATCCTACTCCTAAAATAATACAGCAAAGAACCCGGTTCAAGCTATATCCTTGGAAAAGAATCAGTGCCCAAATAAAAACAAAGGGAATCACTACCTAACTATCCTAATAAAAGCAAAAGAAAATCTTTTTGGTATTTTTAATCAAACCTTAAGCCCTCAAGAAAGTTGTCCAAGAGATCCATCGTCGGAAAAAATCTAAATTTTTTCTATTTTTTTTTCTCCATATTTTCGTTTTTTAAATATTCCACTACTCTAACTAAACTACTACTAACTACGAGTTAATAATTAAAATAACTAATGAGAAAGAACGATTTTATGCAAGTACACTCAGAAAGTAGTTCTCCCACCCCACACTTATGTTATGCATAGTCCTCGATGCATATAAGAATTCAAAATAAAACTAAGGTGGAAGAAAAACTCCCTCCTACTCGGACCTTCGTCCTCAGAACACCCAACATTTGAAGCTCTGGGCTCTTCATCATTTTCTCCAAGCGGCAACAAAGCCATTGGCCCCATGACCTCAACATCTATATCATCCCCATCATCCGATCCCTTGTTGGTGTTTTCATCCTTCGATGGGTGAATGGGACTGCCAAGCGCAATCTCAAACATTTCCTTTGAAGCACTAGGCAGATCATTGCGCAGTTGCATCCGCTCCTCATCAGTCACTCCCATTCGGCTCATCATCAAGTTCAGTGAACTGTATAGATACCTGTTAAATTTTTTCTCCGGCTAGTTTGAAGCAGTCAGACTCAGCTTGGAAGTGGAATCTAGCAAGGAAATAATATCTATCAGTCCCTTCGGAGCCTCAACCAAGTCGTCATAACCAAGGTAATCAGGTACCTTACGAGAAAGCATATACCGTGTTAGCAGGTTACCAAAGAAAAACTTCTTTATTTTTCGCCCAAAGCGAATGCGAGCCATCTCCTCCAACATAATCTCACCCACTTTGACTGGCCTCCCAGTCATCAGAAAGAAGATCAAGCACACCCTAGCTCGAGTGCACCCGGTGTTGTGCTCCACTGACATCAGTCTGGCTTGCACAAAGTTCTGCCACACCTTGGCAGTTTTATTGAAGTCAATTCAGAGCATCTCACTGTGGGTATCATTCTTTGTCCTCGTCCACTTAGCATCAGAATCTACGCCACACAGAGTGATGAATAGCAGTGTAGCTCGGGCACCTTACAGACTTTTGCAACCTCCTCGGGTTTGGGAAATCAACCCCTAAGAACTTGCATAACGACTCCTTATCCAATGGCATTTCCTTCACTCTGACCCACGACAAGAACATGTGCTCGTTCCAATTCACATACAGCTCTTTTACCATGCTCAAGTTTGCATGTCCACGACACTCAATGAACTTGTCCATCTTCATACTTTTTAACCTGGCTAGCACATCGGGGAAATTCATCTCCAAAGTGGTCACATTGATCCCCATCTTAGATACATACTGCCCATACGGCTCGAAGTTGTGATACCACTAGGTAGCATCCTCACGAACCAAATCCAATGTGGTTCGTATTCCCAAATGTTATACCCCATTTTAATACGGGTCAAATTAGAGTATAACCTATTGGAAACCCAATGTTCAATTAATTTTAAGAGAGTCGCCACCTAATTATTTTAAGGTGAATTAGGACACCATCTTTTATCTAAATAATGCCAAACTTAACTCTGTTTATATAGTCTATTTAACCTTATGATTATGGGTAAGAGTTCTAATTAATCCTATAGGGAAGGTTATTAAAGCACCCTATATGATCTGTTAATTACGGTTAACCGACCAAACTTAGGATAATTAATTTAAAGCTAAGTAATGAAAATATTTGCATAAAATCAGGTGTCCATTATAGTTGAAAATTTGTGTTTTATCCAAAGAAATTAAAAGTCATTCCAAATCGTAAAAGTTTATGAAATAGAAAAAGAGATTTAAGTTGTTTAGAATTCAAAACTTGTTTGACTCCAAATAATTAACTAGAGAAAAAAAAGGCTCATCTGGATAAAAACGGGCCAACCGCTACAACAAAGTTTAAAACTTATTTTGAATAAGAAAGAAATACTAGTTAGACATTCTAAGTAATTTAAGTCTTGAGCATGCAAAAAAGAAACAACCTCAGGCAAAACATACAAATGAAATGTTAGTCAGCAGAAAATGAATCCAAAGTAGAAGGAATAAGGCAAAATAAACAAGCAATTTTCCTATCCGATTCTTCGACAGGGCAAATCTCGGAGTCCCGCTATTCAAGAAATGAGAGGAGATTGGTGCTGAGTTTGCTTCGGCAGCGGCGTTGAGTCTCTCCTGAGACTCTTCGGCTCCGGTGTGTATGACATGCAAAGAAAAAGAGAAATAAAAGAATAAGAGAAGTGATTTGAAACGTATAGCAACGATACAACTATTGAATATAAATTTATTCCACAAGGTTACTCGCACGAAATCACACAAAGACAGTACCATATTCTAAGCATATTTTGGGATCATATTGTTAAACTTTATAATCTAAACACTCCCCTGTAACATAACAAATTTCAGAACTTAAAAGATGCGTTCATCAGGTGCATTACGCCTAAACAGTGATATCTCTTCATTCAAAATCCGAAGGACATGGTTTTTAATTTAACTGTCACTTTATCTACAACATGGATAAAAGGAGGTTAAAGCTAAACTGAGTATGTAAGATCACATCCAACTATTAACTCAACTCAACAGACATTTGCTAAATGAGCCTCAAGTTAATAGGAAGTCATATTAATTCCATCAATTCTACGCTCATGATACATTAGCATTCGTTTTTTGCTTTTACTTCACAAATCCTAAAAGAAGAGGGCGTTAAGATATTCAGGCTAACATAGATATAAGCACATATATTTCATTAGAATCCTATAGGCATGATTCTACATGGTGAGAATCGTATACACAATATTTAATCTTATAGACATAATTTCTACCATTTGAATGAGATTTAAAGGCTATAAACTCCCAGAACACATTAACAAAATACTCTTCCATTTTCATATTACGTTAAAATGAATAGATAATGCCAAATCCTAAATAACTAATATGACCATTATTTTGTCAAATGGAGTCCATC